CCTAGCATGCTATTTGTAAATGATACGTAGAAAGGGGATAGAATGGGAACTTTGTGTTTTGTAAGGGGTCATATGATTGTTTTGTTGCTGTCTGATACTGTGGTTGCAGCAGCAGCAGCAGCCAGCAGCAGCATCGCGTTCACACTTCACATGAGACTGAGTAAGAAATTAGTTTCTTTTACACCAAGTTGATCCTGTAGCATGCAATTGCAGTTTTGCTTTATAGGAAATGACTTTTGGACACTATGTTCAGTCTCTTAGACATTTTGTTTAATTTTGATCCTTAATTTTGTTTGATTCCTCCGATAATAATATAATTTTCCCAATAAAACTAAAAGAAGTCAATTTATCTTCTATTTTATTTTACTTTTTCTTAACAAACAATATTATTTATAATAAAGAGGTAGAAGAGTAGGCTAAATCTCAAAATGAACTAACAATAATGTGATTCAAATTAACATTTGACGAGAATCGAACTTAAGACCTCTCACTTACAAGTAAAGAAGAATATCACTAAACCGTTGTACTAAGTGACTCTTTAATTTTGGGTGTGCACCTAGTAGAAATATCACTAAGACTTCTCACTTATAAATAAAAATTAATATCACTAAACCGTAAGTCTAGGGTTTGCATTCAAGTGACTTGTCTTAAAAACCAAAAATTAAAGAGCTCATGCTTATCTGAAAGTTTATAAGCCCAACATGACACACCCCGTCCCGAAGGAGGGCATGTTGGCCGTCACGTGAGAGTGACGTAACCATTTACACAGTTCGGAAGCTTTAAAGATACAATTACTAAGATGTAACACCTGAGGGTGAGTCCTACTTTTGTGAATTCTGTCAGAACACCGTTGGATTCCTCGTGGCCACCAAAGCTCTGCTATCTTGAACCTGGAGAGGCGCAAAACAAAGTTGAGTGAGTCAGTAAAACAAAGCTTTGCGAAAATCATCTCATTATCAAAACGCTAACCCCTCGCTGTAAAACCCGTAGAGCATCACCATGGAAACAAACAAAAACACTGTTAAACATATGACATGTTCACTGTATGCATGTGGGCATACATATTATACTATTTACAACACTCCCCCTTGGATGCCCACATATCAACATCAGTTGCCTCATTAAAACCTTGCTTGGAAAAACCCTGTGGGAAAAAAAACATAGCGAAGGAAAAAGAGTACAACTTTATCCGGATGGTGTTGAGCATGCTTATGTTGCCTCGTTAAAACCTTGATAGGAAAAACCCAGTGGGAAAAATCCTAAGCGAAGGAAAAAGAGTACAACATGCATGTATCATGGATGCTCCCCCTGAATTGGATCTCCCCCTGATTCTGCATTCTTCAAATTTGTAAGCCGACGTAATCCGATTCCCTGCACCAGCTTCTGAAATATGCACTTTGGTAGAGATTTGGTGAACAAGTCTGCTAAATTTTCATTGGAACGGATTTGTCTGACTTCAATAACTTTAGCCTTCTGAAGCCCATGTGCGCTGAAAAATCTTGGAGATATGTGTTTAGTCTTATCACCTTTGATAAATCCTTCCTTCATCTGGGCGACACAGGCTGCATTATCTTCATGGATGACAGTTGGAGTGTCTGTCTTTGAAGGTAGACCACATGAATTCCGGATGTGATGGATCATTGATCTTAACCAAGAACATTCACGACTTGCTTCATGTAGAGCAATTATTTCCGAATGATTGGAAGATGTTGCAACTAGCGTTTGCTTCGTTGATCGCCATGAAATTGCAGTATCTCCATTAGTGAACACATATCCATTTTGTGAACGGGCTTTATGCGGATCGGAGAAAAAACCAGCATCTGCGTATCCAACAAGGATCTGTTCATTTGTGGGCTTGTCTGAGTAGAAGAGACCCATATCTGTTGTCCCACGAAGGTATCGTAGAACATCTTTGACTCCCTTCCAATGACGAATTGTTGGAGCAGAGTTATACCTGGCTAACAAGTTAACTGAAAAAGCTATATCTGGTCTAGTACATTGTGCTAAATACAATAAAGCACCTATTACGCTCAAATATGGTACTTCTGGACCAAGGACCAGTTCATCATCTTCCTTTGGACGGAATGGATCTTTCTTAATGTCTAAAGAACGAACGACCATTGGGGTGCTAAGTGGATAAGCCTTGTCCATGCCAAATCGCTTCAGTATTTTTTCAATGTAAGCTGATTGATGGACCAAAATTCCACTAACACAATGCTCGATCTGCAGGCCTAGACAATATTTGGTTTTCCCAAGGTCTTTCATTTCAAATTCGCTTTTCAGATATTCAGCGTTTTATGGAGCTCTTCAGGAGTCCCAACTAAGTTCATATCATCAACATATACTGCCACTATAGCAAATCCAGAGTTGGATTTCTTAATGAACACACAAGGGCAGATGACATTGTTGATATATCCTTCTTTAATCAAATACTCACTGAGACGATTTATACCACATTCGCCCAGATTGTTTCAGCCCATATAGTGATCGCCTTAATTTGATTGAGAACATACCCCGTGGTTTGTTTGTTGCTTCAGGCAACTTAAGTCCTTCTGGGACTTTCATATATATGTCAGTATCTAATTCTCCATATAGATACGCGGTGATGACATCCATAAGTCGCATGTCAAGTTTTTCTGAAATCACCAAACTTATTAAGTAACGGAACGTAATTGTGTCCATTACAGGAGAGTATGTCTCCTCATAATCAATTCCAGGTCTTTGTGAAAAGCCTTGTGCAACGAGTCGTGCTTTGTATCTAGCAATCTCGTTTTTCTCATTGCGTTTCCTTGTAAATACCCATTTGTAACCTACGGGGTTTACATCAGTTGGGGTTTGGACTACTGGTCCAAAAACACTTCGCCTTTCCAAGGAATTTAATTCTGCCTGGATTGCATCTTTCCACTTAGGCCAATCTTGTCTCTATTTGCATTCATCAACAGAGCGGGGCTCAATATCATCACTTAATATGATTTCAGTGGCTACTGCGAATGCAAACATATCGTCAATGATTATTTCATTCCGATCCCACAATTCATTAGTACATGCATAATTTATGGAGATTTCTTTGCTTTCATGTACTTCTGTCTCTTCAGGGCCATTTTCTTCTTCTGGAAGTCCAGAGTCATGAATTGTGGATTCGTCATTTACTCTCTCTTCCTGAATGATTTCATTTGGATTCAGTTGTGCCCTCGTCTTTCTCCTCCGAGGGGCTGAATCTTTTGAACCTGGTGGTCTACCACGCTTCAGGCGTGCACCAGATGAATCATTCGCTGCCACTTTATTTTGTCCAACAGGGACATCAATTCTGGCAGGTGCATTTGCAGTTGGTATATGCGATTTTGTCACTTTCATAGCGTCATTAAATGCATCTGGCATTTGATTGGCAATGCTTTGAACGATCCTTTTCACTTCATTTTCACATTGAAGGGTTCGAGGATCAAAATGAGACAAGGTGGGAACAACCCATGTCAGCTCTTTCCGTTCTTCTGGAACGGTCTTTTCTCCCCCTAACGATGGGAAGACTGTCTCATCAAAATGACAATCAGCAAAACGAGCTGTAAACATATCACCTGTCAAGGGTTCCAAATATCTAATAATAGATGGTGAATCAAAACCCACATAAATTCCCAGTTTACGCTGAGGTCCCATTTTAGTGCGTTGCGGGGGTGCAATAGGCACATAAACAGCACAACCAAAAACTCGTAAATGTGAAATGTTTGGCTGATGTCCAAACACGAGTTGTATTGAGGAGTATTGGTGGTTGGCTATAGGTCTCAATCGAACCAATGATGCAGCATGTAGAATGGCATGTCCCCATGCAGAAACTGGCAATTTGGTTTTCATAAGCAGAGTGCGGGCTATTAACTGAAGCCGCTTGATCAATGCTTCTGCTAAACCATTTTGAGTATGGACATGAGGAACAGGGTGTTCAACATCAATGCCCAATGTCATGCAGTAATCATCAAAGGTTTGAGACGTAAATTCACCAGCGTTATCAAGTCGGATTGATTTAATGGGATAATCTGGGAATTGTGCTCGTAACTTAGTTATCTGAGCAAGAAGTCTCGCAAAAGCTACATTCCGAGTAGACAAGAGACAAACATGTGACCATCTGGTGGATGCATAAACCAAAACCATAAAATATCGAAATGGTCCACAAGATGGTTGAATAAGTCCACAGATATCCCCTTGAATTCTTTGTAGAAATGATGGGGATTCAACATCAACCTTTAGTTGTGATGGTTTAATTACCAACTTCCCTTGAGAACAAGCCTTGCAAGGGTTATCATTTGAGATAGCAATGTCTCTGCTTAATAATGGATGTCCATTAGAGTTGGTAATGATCCTACGCATCATGGTGGATCCTGGATGACCCAGACGGTCATGCCAAAGCATGTAAACCTTTAAATCAATGAACTTCTGGTTCATGATAGTATATGATTCAACTGTCCTTATGTATGTATAATATAATCCACTCGAAAAACCACGCAACTTCACCAATATACGCTTCTGGGTATCATTGGAGGTAATGCATAGATACTCCACATTTTTTGCACTTTTTGTTTCAATGTGGTATCCATTTAGACGTATGTCTTTGAAACTCAACAAATTTCGAGTAGATCGAGTAGCATACAATGCATTTTGTATGGACAATATTGTTCCATTTGGTAACATAATCTGGGCTTTCCCTGAGCCTTCAATCACATCTGAAGGTCCTGATATTGTTGTTACCTCTATTTTTGTAAGCATTAAGCTTGAGAAATACTTTCGATCACGAAGTATTGTATGTGTGGTTGCACTGTCTGCAAGACAAATATCTCCGCCATTTCTCATGTTCTGAGAATAACCACAGTTTTTATCCATGCTTTCTGAGTAAATGGAATCACAGTTAACAAACAATTTATAACAGGAAATTTACATGCCATTTTTATTGAATTTGAAAAACTAGTTTTAGACAACAAGTTCAGCATAATAAAAGTACATCAAACATAAACGATTTAGTCGGACCGATATACTTCATTCCCCCTTTCCATAATGAAGTCTGAAACATCTAGGTGAGTTGCGTCAAATTGCCTTGATAAATCAAACACTGGATCAGGTATATCCATTGGTTTAGCCTGGTCGAGAAAATTGGTCTCGACACCCTTCTTCTTGAGGGAGGCTTTATACAACTCCACCAGATGTTTTGGGGTACGACAAGTTCGCACCCAATGCCCATTGCCACCACACCTATGGCAGGCTCCTTCAGAGTTCCTGGGAGCATTGGTCATGTTAGCTTTGCCTTTGTGACGATTCACATTCTTAAAGCTCGGGCCAGAATTATGCCTCTGAACCTGGTTGTGAAACTGACCACCATGGTTCTTGCTTTTCCTATTCCATCGACCTCGTTTGTGGCCACGTCCTTGTTTATGATAATTACCACCAGAGGATGTGGCGTTCACTTCGAGGGAAGTAGCATTTACTTCTAGGAATGGTGCAGATCCAGTAGGTCGGGAATTATGGTTTTTCATCAGGAGCTCATTGTTCTGTTCAGCTACCAGGAGCACAGATATCAGCTGGTTGTATTCAGTGTAGCCTCGCACTCTATACTGCTGCTGCAGGAGCACGTTATTGGCATGAAATGTGCTGTAAGTCTTTTCCAGCAATATTTCATCAGTAATGGTATCCCCACAGAGCTTCATCTGAGAGGTAATCCTGAACAACGCAGAATTGTACTCCGCCACTGATTTGAAATCCTGAATTCTCAGGTGAGACCACTCATAGCGAGCTTTTGGAAGAATCACCGTTGTCTGGTGATTATATCTGCTTCGCAAGGCCTCCCAGAGAGCTAACGGATCTTCAACCGTTAAGTACTTACTCTTTAGTGCCTTATCAAGATGGCGGCGAATAAAGATCATAGCCTTCGCCCGATTTTGAGAAGATGAGCTGCTTTCTTCCCTGATGGTATCTCCAAGATTCCCTGCTTCCAGATGGATCTTGGTATCAAGTACCCAAGTAAGGTAATTCTTCCCAGTAATGTCCAGGGCAGCATATTCAAGCTTAGCCAAGTTCGTCATTTTCTTTTCTGAAAGAAAATGAGATGTGTAAGAACTTGCAGTAATATGTATTCCTAGAGGAATGTGATGTTAGAACTTCTGGTTCTTACAAATTTTTCATTTTGATCTTCAGGCTAAAATGATAAGCACTCGAAACTTCTGGCTCGAGATTTTCAGGGTGAATGAGAAGGGCGATTGTACCGCACCATTCTCATTGAAAGAATGTAACATGGAATGGGCGATTAGTCCGCACCACTCAAGTAGCAAGAAAATTGAAATACGCAGAGCAGGGTGGGCGATTATACTGCACCACCTAAAATTGCAATGAAATTAAACAACAGGTAAATTTAAATTTGGAGAACAAGGAGGGCGATTATACCGCACCACCTAAAATTGCAATGAAATTAAATAACAGGTAAATTTAAATTTGGAGAACAAGGAGGGCGATTATACCGCACCACCTAAAATTGCAATGAAATTAAATAACAGGTAAATTTAAATTTGAAGAGCAAGGAGGGCGATTATACCGCTCCACCTGAAATTTGCAGTAAAATTAAATCTGCAGTCCAAGATAGGCGATGATACCGCACCATCTTGGATCGCAGTGAGATGAAATTTGCAGTTCAAGATGGGCGATTGTACCGCACCATCTTGGATTGCAGTAAAATCAATATAAATACTATGTTAGTAATCAATATCCAAACCAAACAAGTAATCAAAGATGTATGTAACCGCTAGTTGGAGAACTACGAGCAGGCATGGAGCAAATAGTTCGTCGCGAGGATATACCGCGCAGTTGAGGCAGATGAAGAAGATGAACAGGAAAAACCTTAGAGGAAACATTTTTTTTTTTTTCGTTCGGCGGAGAGAAATGAGATAATAATTTCCTTTATTGTTTAGTGAATGTAAATGAGACATGGTTATACTTAGAGACTCGTGCTGATAACGTGTTATAAAAATGTAAAAGTTATAGAGAGATAACCTTTATTCGGGACAGGAACGAAGCAGTTGCAAAGTATTATACCAACACAAGCTGTTGCAGAGGAAGTAATGTATATTATTACTATTAGATATTTTTCTCTTCCTTTTCTCTCTGCTTTGTTGAACATTCGTAAAGCTCTATTTATAGAGCATCACCATGGAAACAAACAAAAACACTGTTAAACATATGACATGTTCACTGTATGCATGTGGGCATACATATTATACTATTTACAACATATATATATATATATATATCTCATCAAATCATATAAGTAACTCATGCCAAACAATATGTCAACCGGATCCACCTATAGTGGCCTGTACGGCTGAATCTATAACTCATAATCAATCTCATCAATCTTATCTAGCCGGAGTCATCGCAAGTGACCTGTACGGTACTACACTGCACACGAGTCGAAACCCCTGAAAAGGTCTGTGCGACTAAATTGGGTGAAATATAGTTATGCTCACACTATCCTCTCCTAATAGCTATGCGATAAATCGCTAGTCACCTACGAGTCGGAACCACCTCTAATGATCTGTACGACATGCACCTAAATTGGATCCAATTGTGAGTATATGGTGCGGGGGCGACTATATATATACAGGCCTGAATCATCTCTACTAAATCACAATCACCCTAGTGCAGGTTTATGAGCTTTCAATCATATCAACTCAACAATTACATAATTTAATTTATGAACTTACTTGGCACTTACCTGTGCGTCCGTAACACCAATTATGCATGTATGCAATTACTAATGCATAATTAATTAGGCATATATTTTGCATGGCATTTCATATCACATTTCACTTAAATTGATTTCCTGGGAAAAATCCCATTTATATAGGTATATACGGAAAACAAAACTGCCCACTCACCTGGAGTTCGCCCTACAACTCCCTAGAACAACACATCAAGGCACCATGACCATCGGCGCCTAGAACAATCATCAAATCAAACCTCAGAAATCATATCGATATAATATATAACTTATATAAAAACACGTCACTAAGTAGTTCGATCCGGAAGATCTGCAACTCAGATTTCCAATCCATAACTTCCAGAGGTCCACAATATATCTCTAGAACAACACCCTAAAATTTCCTTACCATCCAACAATCGGATCTCCGTCAATTGTCAACACCAAGTGACAGTTAACATTCTATTTTATGAACTTACAACTCCAATTCCGGAAGATCCGTAAATCAGATTCTCAATACGTAAGTTCGTATAATCCTTAAATATTACGTATTACAATGTATCAAAGTTTGGTGACGATCCAACGGTCGGATCGTCAATTCACATTTTCACCTAACCACGAATCGTAAAGAACTTAGGTTCAATTACTCAATTTACATCAATCAATTATCAAAACTGAAACCTAGAACATTAAACACATGCTAAGAATGATAGTGGCGGGCCACTAGCCACGCACCACCGCACGGGCCACCGCGGGTGGCTGTCGGCCGCCTCGGCTCGCAGGAAAATCCAACTATTTCCAAAAATTACCAAAATTTACAGAAATAAAGATCTCAATGAGTAGAGTAAACTTTATACCTGTGGCCAAGACCAATTTGGCCTGTAAAAGCTCCAATGTTTCCAAAACCGTGAAGAACCCAAGAAATGGGTGAGTTCCAATTCGTCCTCAAATCAACTCCGCCGTCCCAATCAATGCTTGGGCTTTGTTCTAGGCCTCAAGGGGATGCTATGGGTGGTGGTTATTGGAAGAAATTGTTTCGGGTTTTGGTGGAATTTGAACAAGAATCCCAGCACCCACAAGTGCGTTCTTCACCAAACCACCATCAAATTTCATGATTTTTTTGGGTGAAACATGAAGAGGGAAGGTCTAGGTGTTGATTGGGAGTGGTACCTTGATCCAATTTGTGAGAAATCCGGTGAAAATCGTCGGAAAAATAGATATGGGTGCGCGGGTACACGGGTTGGGGAAAACCCGTTTCTTCCTTTTTTTCCCCCGTTTCTCTCCCTTCTCCTTTCCCTCCTTTCCCTCCTTTCTGATTGGTCTAGCCCCTCTCTCTCCTCTCCCCATTCGGCCTCTTCTTCTTCTTCTCCGATCGGGCAACTTTGCCCAATCTCTCTTTTTTCTCTATTTCCTCTGTTTTCCTTTCCTCCCGATGCCTTCCTCTTTCTTTTCCCATTTCTAATAACAACTAATAAAAATAATAACATATAAATTTATATATGTATATATTAACCAAAGTAAAAGTACTTCTCAGGTTAGAGTTCCGTAAAACTTTAACTGAAACTCCAAATCACGAACCGTCAGCACCCACGCTTCCGTAGCGACGAGTACTATGAGGATATGACAAGAAAACAAATCTTAGATGGCACAACACAACAATTAACCTCGAATAATGTGCGTGCCTCAAAGGGCATTTTTGTAAAATCCTTTATTAACACTTTAAAAACTCTTAAAATCAGGGACGGGCTGTGACACAACATGTATAAGAGCATCTTCAAGGAAGGTAGTAAAGTTAAATTTTCTATACTATAAATTTTGTTTGGCATGAACTCAATCAGCTTCGCAATTACAAATTCCAAAATTTCAATAAATCATCTAGTTTCACATATTCTAGATGCAAACACAAGAAGAAGATAGTAGACTTAATACATAGACTAGTACAACTAGACAACTAGCACACAACAAACAAACCAATGAAAGAAAGTAGAAGTAAAGGTAATCTTTAAAAAAAAATTGTTTGAAAATAATATAAAGTCCACTGAATCAAAGCAAGATAATCTTGAAGAAAATGACATCACAATTTCCATGATAATATTTATATTTTTAGTTGTGCTAAATACTCAATAAGCTAGTTTCATTAAAAAAATCATTCTTATTGCAATTTTTTTTTGTGTATTATATTTAGGCCATACACTAAAGCATACATATTACCACAAACTCTCCCTGGGTTGCAGCCCATCATAGCCTTTGGTGTTGCTCTGCCAATGGTGTCACCAATAAAAAATAAACATGTTAATCAACGCTTAAGTAATAATTTAATCATTAACTTCCATGTCATTTAGTTTACAAAATTTAGTCTATACATTTAGTCTCCCTAACATTACCATTTATTTAAAAGTGTTGTTGAGTAAAGAGTTTGAAAATAAAATTTATGCCCCAAATGATAAGAGATGGTTGAACAGGTGGTTAGAGTGAAAAAAATTTAAAAAATAGCATAAAAGTGTAAAATGCGTTAGCAAACAGTGGTGGAGTCAGAAATCGCTCTTAAGATGGACCTTTTAAGACATATAAAAGAAATTAAACTAATTATAGCAATATAATTAATCGGAGAAAGATTTAAGGTTTCTTTTTTTATTGGCATGAAATATTTATCAAACAAGAGTGATTATTTGACAAAAAAAAAGAGTGATGAAATGTTAAACTTTGTATGAAAAAATTACTATTGAGATGATTATATCATAAGAACATAATTTGTTTACAAGCTTTAATAAAAAGAAAAAATTCGAAAAAAAATAAAGTTCATAATTCAAAACTATTATCATGAAATTTTCCCTTCAACATAATTGAATCTTTCTTCTAAATCTTGTTTTATATGAACTGAACAAAAAAAGAATTAATTTTTATATGATAAAATAGAAGGCTAATTATAAGGTTTATATAAACTGAACAAAAAAAGAATCAGTTTTTTATGTGGTAAAACAAGCAA